ATGTAAATGTAAGGTTTAGGACAAGTAAAACCAATTGTTTCACTCTCCACGTTTTGGAATTTCGTTGAATGTTGTTAATTAAAAAAAAGAAAGAAAGCTTTATAGGTCTTCCTGTGTAGGTAAATTGCTGTAAGCTCAGGTAAGAAATCCGGCGTTAATGACCAAATGGCTCCTGGCAGTCACCACGGGGGGTTAATGGAGGCGAGGTGGTTGCTGTGTTTGATCTCAGCGGGGCAGCAGTAGCATTAAAACATTCAATGGATCAGCGCAAAAAGGAGCTGCAGTAAAACACGCAGCTTCTCTTTAACCGAATAAGAGGCACAACAACAACAACAAAGACCACACGCTGAGAGGAAGAAAGAAAGTTTAAAATGACCACAGACAATCTGTACGCTGTTGTGTTCTGCTGGAAGCAGTGTGAGTCCTGCAGTAACAACAAAGCAAGGCAGCCAAGTAGGGCTGCCACGATTTGTCGACTAGTCACGATTACGTCGACTATCAAAATCGTCGACGACTGATTTAATAGTCGACGTGTCGTTTGAAGCTTTGTAAGATCGCAAAAGACGCAGGAATAATAGCAGGATTTAAGAGTGTAATAACGGACTGAAACAGAAGATGGCAGCACTGCATGTACAAGGATTCCAGCTGCCGTTAAACCCCGAAGAAGAAGAAGTAGCTGTGTCCCAGAATTCATAGCGCGGCCCAGCTTAGTTTCCAACAATGGCGGTAGCTAGTTAGTTTTAATATTACTCTTATTATTCTTTCTGGGTCACAAAATAAACGTTTAACATATTTTCAGGCGAGAATGTAGCTGTGTAAACCTCAAATATCGGCTCAGTTTTCGGAGACGTCTGTTACCCACTAGCTCGATAGCTATCCGGGGGCTAGGTCACTAGCGCCGTGAGAACACCGGACTCCCGGCAAATTGTTTTCAAACCCACCGCCGTCTTTCGCGACTCAGGTTAAATATATATGAGTCACTTAGATAAATTAAAAATGTTGTTGTTTGGCCTTTTTTTTTTTTTTTTAGTATTTTATTTGTTCCTGAGTAAATCGGTTTGGCTGAGATTAAAGTTATAGTTTTTACACAGCTGAATAAACGTCAAGCAGACAGCTGATCATCAGAAGTGTGAGATGCTGGAGAATATACTCCGGTGTCCTGTTATATTTTAGATAGCAAGGAGTTTATTAAACTTTACCGAAACAATCTGCAAATTTCATTAAAATTGAATAAACTATCATCTTGTCTTTATTTTTAGTTAGCACCTTAAAAGCTTAAAGCTGTAAGCTAATGATAGTTATATAAGCTGTAGTTTTACGTCCAGTGGATGATGATCTGATTAGTCGACTAATTGCAAAAATAATCGGTGACTAGTCGACTATCAAAATAATCGTTTGTGGCAGCCCTACAGCCAAGTGACCCTTGAAGACCTCCAGAAACCACCAAACCACATTTGATCACTACTGATTTTAAGCAGCAGAGCCTTCAACTTTCAGGCCCCTCTTCTATGGAACCAACTCCCAGTTTAGATTCAGGAGACAGACACCGTCTCTACTTTTAAGATTAGGCTTAAAACTTTCCTTTTTGACAAAGCTTGTAGTTAGGGCTGGATCAGGTGACCCTGAATCCTCCCTTATTGATGTTCCAATAGCCCTAAGCTGCTGGAGACTTCCCATGATGCATTGAGTGGTTCTTCTTCACTCACCTCTTTTAACTCTCTCTGTGTTTATAAGTTAATCATTAGTTATTATTAATCTCTGCCTCTCTGTCCACCACAGCCATTCAGATAAACAATTAAATGACAGAAAAAATGATTTTTTTTCACCGTGGGCTACATAAATTTTGAATTTTTACACTGTTCACAGTGCAATAAATAAATAAATAAAACAGGACATTTTTGTGAATTAACAGTCTGGGCAGTCAGCTGCCAAAACTTTGGCTGTAATTTTACACATTTATTTCTTACAGTTTAAGCCCAAACAGTCGTGCTGACAGATTTCTTTTGTTTACTACAGCAACATTTCTTTATCACAAAAACTAAAAATGTGCTGGTGAAATCGCACTTCTGTTTCTTACATTGAGATAACTGGGAGATTAAATTGAAGTTAAACTTCTTTACACTAATAGAGAGGGCAGTTTCCCCAGTGTGCCTCACCTAAAATCAAAGTGGGCCGTGATGTAAAATGAGTTTGAGGTGACTGCTGTTGCAATTTGGTGCTATATAAATAAAATAGGATTGAACTGACTTGATTTGTTGGGAACCGCCCAAATAGGAGGACATCATAATCTTTTATTGTTACAGTGATACGTTGCTGTTGTAGACTGAGGCTAAGTAAGCACTAACTGATTTCTTGATTTCCATATAAACCGTAATGACCTTCCATCTATTGTGTGCTGTGTTCACTGTATGTGATGGGTACTTTAAGACAAAAGTGGCCTGGATGCAGTTCATCAGGCTAATATCTGATCTCACTTTTATCAACCACTGTGCAATTCAAGCAATGCAACATGGGTGATACTTGCTGGGGCAATAGGGGCAACTTTTTCTGGGTGTTTATCAGGACGCTTCTCGTATAAACAGCCCAGCAGTGGGTGTCAAATAAGTCTGATCTTGTCTGTGAGTGCTACATGATCCTTGCATCCACTGTTTTACCCATCATTGTAATTCTAATTGGACAGGACCTTCTTGTCCAACAAAGCACACTAAGATCCACAAATCCCTTCATTCAGAACTGACGTGCTTTCTGAAAGGTCAAAAACGTCTAACACCTCTTGGTGCTTAATTAACCTGACTCATCGTGACAAACAAGCAGCTGCTCTACTGCCGTGCTCTCGTTTGAAGCTGGAAAGGCCTGCAAGGATGTGCGCATCTTTGGCAAGGCTGCAAGGATTAGAGTTTGATTCTGGGAACTGAGATACTAGGATTTATGACCAAGACTTGCCGTCTCAGAAACATTTTAGCATGCACGCTAAATGGCCTGGAATCTCACAAGACATGTGCTGTGACCACATGTGCATTTTTTTTATTATTATTATCAAAGTCCCCTTCTCCAAACTGCATAAGCAATAACACACAGCAATGGAACTGTGCACAGAAGTCCAACCCTGAAAAGTCATTCATGCAGCGATACCGCAGAACTTCTCAGATGCAGCAGTCTTGTCAAAACACTGCTACATGCCAATATGACAGCTAATAGTCCAGGAGTGCCACAACTTATCTGTCATTGTGAAAAGTGTCAAATCTAGAAGTGAAAATTGAGCATTCAACAAGTGGCCTAATCTGACATGCAGCTCTTTATTCAACAGGCACAGCACTGTGCATAAAACAGAGCCTAATATAGTAGCTAATGCTAAAAAAAAACTTCTTAAAAGCTTCTTAAACCGCTGAGACAACATGTACAACCAGCTGCATGCAAGACAGTTTTCTTTCACCGCCGCTGCACACAGTAAAACCCCTTTTGGTCATCCTCTCCAGTATAACCACGTTAAGGTTAAAAGGAAATGCTGGAAAACAGGGACTAAATCCGTTTTATGATTATTTATAACACATTGCTGGGTTTGCCATTTGCTTGCCAGAGACGCTTTGGAGAACTTTTTAACATTCATGCAAAAGCAGAGAAGAAGACAAGATGTTGTCGTCCTAAAAGAAAAGCAAAGCAACATTAACATAGTCTTGCAGCGTCTTATTTTTGTGCCAGTGTACAAGCGGAAAAGGCATGTTAGGGCACAGTTGGTTAAGCGATATTGTACCATTTCCCTTTAAAACTTTCGAACGCTGCCTCTAGAGTGAAATATTAAGGCACCATGCAGCAGATGCGGGTTGTAAAATGCATGCATGCACATGTCCAATAACAAATGCATACAACGTGGGTTTGTCAATGTGTGTGTGTGTGCACCATATGTGAACTGATAGTGCTCCAACTGCACAGTGAAGAAATAAAGAAAAGAATATCCACAAAGTACCATGAAATCACAACTAAGCAATTTTTTTAATTGTGCAATATCAAATATTTAATGCTGTATTTCTTTTCCATTTTCCTGTTTGGGTTTGAATCACTGTGCAGATATTCATATTTTGTTTGAAGTTTGGACCGACCGGAGTGACTGTCACTGTAAACTGATTTATTCAGCCTGATATGACTTCATCCTTTGTCCCTCTCTCTTTCTCTCTCTCAGGAGCAAAGTATTATCTGTCCATCAAGGATTGTGCTTTTTTTTTTTTCAAGAAATTGTGGCATTTTGGCAGTGCAGATAATTTGATATTTATACGAATGAAGTGGATTTTATTGGATTACAGGAGACAGAGAAGCAAAAGAAGATAAACAGGCATCAGAGAGACAGAGAAAAGGAGAGAGAACGAGAGAGATAACCTGACAGAAGAGAGAGAGAGAGAGTTTCCGCTGGCTCCGGCTAAAGCTGCAGATTTAAAACCATACGCTTGTCATAGTGTTGTGTGCGTCTGTGTGTGTGTGCGTGTGTCTGTGTGTGTGTGTGTGTGTCTGTGTGTGTTAGGTGGGCAGGGCTTAGCTGGAGGAAAGCTGCTCATACTGGGTTCATACAGCAGGATCCCCGGGACAAACGGAGAACAGACAGCACCCAGACAGACGGCGCGAGAGCGAGACAGGTAGAGACGCAGACAGGGAGGGTAGGGATAATGAGGAAGATGAGTCAGGAATAGACAGAGGAAGGTGAAGAAAGCAGGACTCAGAATATGCAACATTTCTCCTCAACTTGCACACAAAGTGCAAGTGGATCGTTAAGCCATTGATTATATATGACAGGATTGAGCCAATCGAAGTGCACGACAGTTGACAGGCAGCAGAGAGGGTCAGGCTGCCTGCTATGTGTTATATCAGGCAGAAACCTGAGCCAACCAGATAACCAGGGGACAGCCAGCGTGATAAAGAGCCAGACTAAACATCAGCAGGAGAGCTTTGCTTGGCTCTGAGCGGTTTAAAAAGAAGCCAAGGCTAAGAAATAATGAAAAGATCAAACTTACCAGAGTCTTGGTCCATTTTGACTGACAGGGCTGGGCTCTGGGGGGCTGAGTCTTCACTCAAGGAGTAGCTGTGCTCTGCTTGAATATCTGTGAGATTAACAAGGCCGTCTCACAAGGATGGAAAATGTAGCAGTGCAAGCTCTGTGTGTGCATATTTGAGAGCTTTCTCATCTTCTGAGTCAATTGTTTTCAGTTCCAATTTTTAAAAAGATTTCAGTCACACTCTCTGTCATGTAAATACGGAGTTATAACATGACAGCACGATTACAGAAGGAAGCCACAAAGCCAGTTCAGTGCCCGACACCTCATGAATGAGCGGTGTCACTGCAGTGCTCTTCCGGTCTCTTGGCTGCATCAGTGATAGCTATTAAGACCTATCTTGTCATTAAGGCCTTAATCGATGATGATCATGAGAGCACGGGTTCCTCATGAATGCTGCCCCTCAATATTCATGATTTTCTTTAATTAGACAGAAAAATCTGCTGGGAACTTCATGATGTCCAAGATTTAAGACTCTCACAATTACTCCCAGTGCTGTGCATAAGTCTCGAGCTACCTATCATTTCTTTATAGTTTGCTTCCAAGGAGCGATAGTTCTCCAAGGTCTTTCAACAATTTCCCTTTGGCTCCCTTTTGACCTATTATCAGTCCAGTCATGACTATTGTCACAGGAATGTTTTGTTTATTAAGCCATGTAACAACTCAAAGGATGAACCAGTGTTGATCCTACAAATAAAAAAAAATGTAGCAAAGAACCCATTTTAAATTGTATCTTTAGGCACTTTGTTGCTAGGAGACTGTCACAAAAACACATCATTTGTTCCCATTTCTTCATAGTTAAATCTATGAAGAATGTCAACAATAACACAGGATTAAAAAAGTATTGTTGCACCAACAAGCTGATTCCCAAAGAGGTATTAGCTGAAAATTTGCCATATCTCAACATGAAGTTGAGTGTATCCTTAAAATCTTGAGGAAATAATTGAGAACAAAAGAAGAAGAAGCTTTAACTGCCATAAATGTAAATTATGTCAGTTTGTTTAATTTATTGTGTTCATTTATGTTATTTATTTTCTTTATTTATTGTTCCTTTTGGGGTAGGAACTAAGGTTCATTCTGTGTTGCACACAGGCCTTTTTAAGTGACGTAAAGGGAAGTAAAAAGCATGTGCAAGAAGCTAAGTTAATAAGTTAACTAAGGCAGAAGAAGGAATAAATAAGCAGTTTAAAGTAAAAGAAAGCTGCAAAGAAGAAGAAATTGGGAATTATTTTTGTTAAGTTTTGTTCCTGAAGCGGACTCATTCCCTCACGGTTACGTGCAGCCAGCGAGGTACGTTAACTGTGTTTGTTTATCGCGTATTTGTTAACTTGGGTTTAAATGTTTATTTGTAATATTTATGTTGGTCATTCTGTACTTTTATGTAATAACAGTTTGACGGTGGATTTTATGGTGTTTCTGAGGAGAAGTGTGACAGAAGAATAAATCCATCTGTGAATGAAGAACCGTGGTGTCGTGTATTAACTGGAGGGAGTGATAGTCAAACTCGGACCTGCCCAGACTCGCCCTATCAGCGCAAATTCGACAGCTCATCAAGACGGGAACACAGATAAGCCACTGTTTAGGACACACAGGTTCATAAGGTTTTCATGAAGAAGTCTATAAGCCAGACTCTAAAGTTTTTGGTCTGAAAAGTAACACAAGAGTTGGAAACTAAAAGGAACTGTGTATAGCCTGGCAGCCACGCTGTTTCACGTATATGAATGTGCATTTACGTAAGAGATGTAAATTCATGTTCAGCTGAATAATTATAGTTGGCTCTGAAAGGGCAGAAGTAAACTTTGTACATTTTGACAGAAATTCAGTTTGTATTTATGGTTCAGTGTCTTTTAAGAACTCTGTTAAGTGTACTTACTCTGTAATATTCTACATGTATGGGCTAATTTGAATGAGAGTGACTTCATTTAGTTAAGCTCATTCTTTCAGTATTCACAAATGTTGTTGCAGCTTGCTCTTCTATGCTGCCTGTGTATATCTGTGTCTAAATAATCAAAATGTCACATACAAGTAAAGAAGCTCAGGGTGCAGTAGCTGCTCCGGAAGAAGAGACTGAGTTAGAACAGACAGGTGAATCAAATATCGGGCAAAATATAGCACCACCTGAAGAGCCTCGTAGAAGTGAAAGAGCCCGAACATTAACAGAAAAAGGAAAAGAGTTTCAGAAAGAGCAAATCAAAGGGCTATTGCTTCGCTTTGACAGCAAATATGAACGATGGAAAGCTCTGATTAAGGTAGCTAAAAGATCTGTATTAAAACAGGATCCTAGTGACATCCTACAAGAACACATCACCAGTATTCAAAGGGAATTATCTGAGTTGAACATTGCTTATGATGATTACAGAAGAATTGATCAACCAGCCCATGACATGCGTCGCAAGATGGATAACTGCATCTCGATCACAAAGACTGTAGTACAAAATGCTCAATCTGAAATGCAGGGAACAGCGGAGGAGTTGATTTGGCCAGATAATAGTTCTGTATTCTCATCGTCAGCCTCCAGTGTTTCACTTCCTGCCTCTAATGGTTCTAAAGCTTCTTCTATTCACTCAAACGTATCTTCACTTAGAAGACAAGAAGCTGCTGCCGAGTATGCAGCTACACAGGCTGTACTGCAGATTATGGCTGAACAAGAGGGCCACGAAGAGAAACTGCAAAACCTTGAAGCTGAAGAGAGGTTGATCATTGCAGACCAAGAAGCAGCAGCATTAGCTCGTCGTCTTGAAGGAGAAAGGGAAGAAACTGAACGTAGGCTAGAAAGAGAGAAACAAGAGGCTGCTCTCTTAAAGAAACAGCAAGAAGAGAATGCTGCAAGAAGGAGGTCTGTAGAAAACCTAAAGAGAGAACTTGAGCGTTTGGAAAATTTGAAAAGGCTGAATGCAGCCAAAGCAAGGCTTCAAGTATATGATGAGAGTGAGCTCAGTCCAGCCCAAGGGAATGCTGCACAGAGCCTGGATCTACATAAGGTTATGCAGCCACTCAATCAGGTGAAGACTGAGGACCAGCACTCACAACCACCAAAGGATGCAGTGCTAACACATGTGCTCCACGATAGCACAGGAGAGCTCGTGAAGGTCTTAGCTGAGGCTATATCAGCAAATAGGCTACCCATTCCAGAGCCCACAGTTTTTAGTGGTGATCCACTCAAGTTTAATCATTGGAAGTCATCCTTCCAAACTCTTATTGAAAAGAAAAACATTCCAAGCTCGGAGAAAATATTCTTCCTCCAGAAATATGTTGGAGGAGCAGCTAGAGAGGCATTAGAAGGTTATTTTCTGATTGGTTCAGATACTGCATATGTTGCTGCATGGGAACTCCTCAATGAGCGATACGGCCAGCCTTTTATGATTGCCAAAGCCTGCCGAGACAAATTACATGCCTGGCCAAAGATAGCATCAAGAGAGAGCGCTGACTTAAGGAAATTTGTGGACTTTTTACGGAGTTGTGAATGTGCCATGGCTCACAATGAGAGTCTGCGTATTCTTGATGATGGCATTGAAAACCAAAAACTGACAGCCAAGTTGCCTGATTGGTTAAGCAGCAGATGGAACCGAAAAGCCACACAGTATCAGCTGGAGCATGGAAGGTTCCCAGATTTCAAGTATTTCGTAACTTTCCTGACTTTGGAGGCTAGTATTGCTTGTAACCCTGTTACATCTTACTATGCTTTGCGGCAAGGGGAGCCAGAAAGGACAAGATCTAAACCTCAGAATGTAGTGACCTCTAAGAACCAAGCAGCAAATGCAAGGATTTTTACAACTAACACCACTGAGAAGAGCATAAGCACATGTATGTTTTGTAAGAAAACAGGGCATGTCTTGCACAAGTGCCGTAGACTAACTGCAAGGCCAGTTGCTGACAGAGTGAAGTTCATACAAGGTGAGAAACTGTGCTTTGGCTGTTTGAGTCCTGGCCATCAATCCAAGCATTGCAGCAACCGGATGGTCTGCGACACCTGCTCAAAGCGCCACCCCACATGCTTACATGAGGGTCGCTCAAAGCAAAAGGAAAATGACGAGACAAGTTGCAGTAAAGAAAGAAAGCCACAATCGCCGCAAGACACCACTCACGAAACCACATCCAATAGAGTTGTGCATGATGGTAACAGTGCTCAGACTTCAGCAATAGTTCCTGTTTATGCATCAATGCCAAGTGATTCAAACAAAGAAGTCCTTGTCTATGCTCTGTTAGATTCACAAAGTGATTCTTCATTCATTCTTGAAGAAGTGGTAGATGCTCTTGATGTTAATGCAGAGCCAGTCAAGTTGAAGCTGTCTACAATGTCTTCCAAGGAGACAATTGTACCATGCAAAAGACTCAAAGGTCTACAAATAAGAAGGTTATCTTCTTCTAAGAAGATCACAGTGCCAACGGTCTACACTCGTGAATTCATACCTGCCAATCGTACACACATTCCAACACCAGAGACTGCAAAGGCATGGCCTCATTTAGAGCATCTTGCGGAACACATTGCCCCGGCGAAGAAATGTGAAATCGGTCTTCTTATCGGGTATAACTGTCCACAAGCACTAATGCCTAGAGAAGTTGTATGTGGTGAGGACAACCAGCCCTTCGCACAGAAAACTGACGTAGGCTGGAGCATAGTGAGCTATGGTGATCCAGGTGAACACTACAGTGATGCAATAGGAGTAAGTCACCGCATCATTGTAAAGCAAGTGACCCCTGAACCCAAAGTAACAAGTAAGTTGAAGAGCGAAGTTCATTATGTTTGCAAAACAAGAATTAAGGAGATGACTGCTCCAGAAGACATACTTAAGGTGCTGGAATCTGACTTCAGTGAAAGGCTTGGAGAAGAGACAAATCTCTCGCAAGAAGATCTCCGGTTTTTGACTAAAATGAAAGAAGAAATTAAGCACAAAGAAGACGGACATCTTGAAATACCTCTGCCTTTTAAACAGAGCAGGCCAGAGCTACCAAATAACAAGCCAAGTGCTGTTCAACGCCTCATGTGCTTGGAAAAGAAGCTCAAGAGAGACCAGAAATATCGGAGAGACTACATGAACTTCATGGAA